AGAAAGCTCTCAAGACGAGGAATCCGTGAAGGCCTAGTTTATCAATCGAAGTTGTGTAAGGCTTCCAAATCGTCCGAGCAAAACACAACCTCGCAGAAACGGATTTACTCTCCCAAAGTGAGTGTTAACCCCAAAACTTTACTTTTCATTTTCCAAATGATATGAACGATTGGTGGGACTATTATACACTACATCAAGTGTATAATGTGTCCTTATAAAGTTATTTTATGTGTGTAAAGGTTGGATACTAACCTAGAGCAAATCTTGGAAGACAAAGAAGTTTGCGGCACTAATGTTTTAGAGGTTGAACCTCTCCAGGTTTCTTTTGAAGGTCATAATTTGGAATCCACATTAGAGGTGGGAGTAATCTCCACTAATTTGGAAGTGACGGATACTGATCTTTCGGATTCATCAGATGATGAATTAGGAGCTATGCCTGTACCAAGGTTATTAACGGACCGAGAGCTGCTTGACTGCTTAGCAAACCCCAAACCTCACACTGAACCTCTATTAGCGGATGATGAATTGATTTCTCCTCAGACTGAAGTTTCAGAATCTAATGCTTCGGGTGGAAAAGTTTTGGAAGTGACGCCTGTTAAAAGAATACTTTCTGATCGTGAGCTGCTAGACCGAGTTGTTGACACTGAATGGGACTCGGCCAGTTCTAGATTGCTACCTCGACGGAGTGCTCGTCTCAAGGCTAAAAAAATAGATGAAGCATAGGGTCGCTTCTATCTTTACGGAACTAGCTTATGGATTTTTTGGGGATGTCATCTCTTTCGGGCAACTCAAGACAATTCATCGGGGAGCTATTTGTTTTACTTTAGGGATTTGATTGGTGGCGGATTTGTAGGGTCTTTTTGAGTTGTTCACTCATTAGCGATTTAGTTTCTCTATTTTTTTTTTTGTTTAAAAAAAAACATAATGTTGCTGAAAAAAAAAAAAAAAAAACTAGGAAACGAGTTCGCCGGAAAACACCCATTCTAGGGGCTGTTTTCGTATCGACGTTTAGGGGTTGAGCTAGCACTTTGAGGAGGCTGTTTAACACTCATATTTAATCAAGGGATCAGTTCTTAATCCACCTTGACCAAAGCTTTGACCATTGGATCAAGAAGGAAAAGTTTAAAGCTCAATTAAGGTGAGGATTGACATCTAATTGCTTACAACTTGTAGGTTAAGCATGAGATTACCTAAATGCCTAAATCATAGTTTTTCATGGATTATGATGATTAAATACTGATGAAATATGGATATAGTTCCCAAAGAATGAAATTGGAAATGATTTGAGGATGTATGAATAATATGAGATTAAATGAGTTATAAATGAACTATTTTGTGAAATGGGGATTTTACTCATGTATGATTTATGTGCATACATAAATGGATATTTATGTATTGAAATTGAATACCTAAGTTGCTGCTACATGCTTATAAATATGTAGAGAATTACAAATGAGAGTATTTGTATGATAACAATAATCTTAATAGTATTGAAATGCTAGTTAGTGATTATTGGAAATTGTTGATAGAATTGATCTTAAGGATTGGATTGTATGAAATGCACTTGAATATACTTCAAGTGTGTATAATGACTTAGTATGAGACTAAGGTTGAGTTATGGGCAGTCTTTAAGGATGACCCATGGTAGTTTATTGATATGTCAATTCTAGGCATATGGTTGCTTAAGAATTGGACCTTGGTGTATGGTGATGTGATAGAGCCGAGCTCTAGAATGCATGGTAAGGTGGTAGACTTGTAGTCTATGTATGATATAACTAGAGCCGAGCTCTAGGGCTTGCGTGGTGATGTGATAGAGCCGAGCTCTAGAACGCAAGGTAAGGAAATTGACCCAAAAGACATGAATTGTATGGTGATGTGGTAGAGCCGAGCTCTAGAATACAATGTCATGTGTTAGGGTTGGACTCTATGAGTTGTCGTGGCTTATAGTCACGGGGAGTGGGAATGGCGATTTCTGAATGAATATGGGCCCATGGGCCGACTACTTGACTTTTATATAAAGTAAGTATATTTTCGAATAGGGTAACTTAGGGTTACAATCATAATGTACTATCACCCTAATTGAGGGTCTTGTGTTTGAAATACCTGTTGTATATCTATTAGATGTCTGCCACCCCAGTACTTTATAGCCGTATAGAGTACTGACCCCTTCGGGGGCATCCCACCACCATTTCAGGTTGAGGCTAGAGCTTGCATCCTGCGCTCGTTGATCGAGTGAATTCCTCGGGGAGAAGACTTGGTTCGTGCTTCCTCCATTCTATTTTCAAACATTAATAACTTTGTTCATGAATATTTTATTATAGAGCCTGCGTGCTCTTGAATAGCCCTGTGTGGCCCTTTTTGTTTTAAACAATGTTTTCCGCTGCGCTACGATTTACTTATTATGTTTGTTTATGGATGTTATATGTGTGAATGATATTCAAGACGCTTTGTATAATATGAATGTGTTGGACTGCGGTTGACTATTCGTATTGTACGGCGGGTTGTTGACGTGTCCGGGAGGTTCGGGGCGTGACAAAAAACCTTCAGGTTCAAGGGTGGTTAGATGGCAGAGGAGGACTGATCAAGAGGGTGAAGGTACTGGGGAACATGAAGGACAAGTGGCTACAACTGGGACAGAAAACAGTGCCACCAAAGAAGAAGACAATGACAATGCTAAGGAGGTGCCAGTGGACCAGAAACGCAGAAGAATATGGGAGAAACGGCCACAAGAGGACCTAGAAAGCGAGAGTGTGGCTCTGGATAAAACAAAAAATGGGGATGCAGTGGGTCCATGCTTCTAGACCCGCCCCGCCGGTCATGCGAGTGGTGCTCCTGCTGAAGAAGACAAACTTTGGCTTTTATTTTATTGTTATTTTGCATTTTAATTTCCATGTTGAGATTGTTGTTTTTTATTTTTAATTTATTTGGTGTTGTAAGACTTTTGCATTAGGATTGAGTGATGATAGTTCTGCGGTAACCATTTTAGGCTCAGTTATGCCCAATTTAGGATCATCGAGTTATATTGCTTTGTCAAAGGTGATTAACTCCGAGTCTAGTTCAAGGGCGGATGGTTACATACTTACATGTGATTCTTTTGTTATTTTAACCCCTATCTTCTAATATCAATCTAAGTCCCTTCTTTTAAAAAATATGTTACCTAAATTGAATTTGTCATGATCGAACCCTAGCAGCAGCGCAACTTCACGATCTTGCCCAGCGCCACGACGCATCAGCAGCTCGACAAGGCACTAATTCTGTGCTGTAATAAAATAAGGTTTTCTCATCGGTTGATATCTCTTTTCGAATTTATGTTTATTTTTATTTTCGTGCGATTGAGTTTTCTCTGGCAGAGGGTTTGATCTGTTACAGTTGTGAAAGTGTTTGTGTTTTTGTTCATGAAGTGTGCTACTCCTTTTTCTGCGTCTAGGATCGGCATTCATTTTGTTGGCCATTAATGAACAACTAAAATCAAACTTATGAAAGGATGTCAATGAAAGAAGTTGATGGCAAGGGATAAAAAAACGGAAAGGAGGCGGACATGCGGTGCTCCCAGAACATCACCGCCTAAAAACAGACAAGTCCCGTAAACGACATGATTCCTTTGGAGGTGGTTGGTCAAACATCTTCTCCCTTTCCGGTGGCTGGTAAAATCGGGTACTTCTTTTGGACGTTGATGGACAAACTTTTTCTCCCTTCTTGGTGGCTGGTAAAACCGGAACGTTTGAATTATTTTGTTATTTTTATTTAAAGAATTCTTGTTAAGTAATCTCCCATTTTAGTAGCAATTTCAATGATGCCGATAGATTAGCCTACCATGATGCGGGGTTAGAATTTGACATGTCCTCAAAGGCTAGTCAATTCTATGTCTCCCCCAGTGTAGCTTTGAGCTATTGTTTTGACTCTTGTTATTTTTCATTATATTATTAATAATAATTAAGTCTTCCTCTGCAAAAAAAGTTATATTGTACTAGTATCTATATAATATAATAAAGCAAACCCTTAAAAAACACTTTAAAGGAATTGTTGACATGTGACAGTATCTTTGTAGAAAAAATGACATGTGGCAACACCATAAATGAAACACTAGCCAACTTCCAAAACTTTCCTCTAATGTATTCCAATCCAATATCATGTGTGTGTGTGTATACATACGCGCGCACACATGTATGTATAACAGTCTCCTCTATTGCCATGTGATGTTTTAATTAAAAATACTTGATAAGTTCAATTAAAAGTATTAATAAATCATTGTTATATTAAAATTTGATAACTATTACTACATCCGTCCCCCTAAGTTTGGGACAAGAGAAGGTGACACGGTTATTAATAAAAGTGAGTTTATGTGGTTGATATTGAATTGATAAAGTAAGAATAAAGTAGGAATGATTTAGAACCACACAAACTTTACCAAATAAGGTATGAAACAATCTTAGTGGGACGGACCGAAATGGTAAAATGGGACAATCAATACGGGACGGAGGGAGTACATGGTATCTAGCAAAATCACTTATTGTACAAAAATAAAGATATAATTAGATCTTGTGAGTCAATATTTGTGAACAATAATTATTAATTATTAAAATATTACTTTCAGCTATAACAGAAAAAATATGTTGGAGTAACTTATTTGAATAATTATTATAAAAATAATAGTTCAAAAAAGATTGTAAAATAATAAGTATATTTGGAAATGATTTTGTTAGTGTTGGGGTATTGGGTCCAAGCCCAAATACCCCAGGCGGCCCAACTGGCACACGGGTCCAATCTCCGCACGAGATCTGCAGGTCGATAATACTTGGTGTTTTCTCAAATAGTGTTGGTTGTATGTGGGAGAACTCCACAAAGTAGTCGACGGGAAGGCTAGATTTGACAGAAAGCCCATTCAGTGCACTAGATGTGGGAGATTTTATGGTTGAGGATTATCCGCTGAGGGCTCAACACCTATCATATTGTAGTACAAATATTCGCATTTATTTTATTATTATAAAGACTTGACAAAC